CAGAGCTTCAGATCCTCGGCATCATGTCTGAAGCTACAAGGTTTAAAGAACTGCAAGAAGCACAAAGGAAGTTGGATCAAATTTTACAAATGAAAACAATGAAGATGGAGACATCTGAACTCAAATCACTGATCAAGTCAAACACCAACTAGGTAAACATGAATTCTACCATAAACAACAAATATGATCATCTTAGCAACACTTTGGCAGCTATTCAGCTGCAGCTTCTTAATATGGACAAAAGGCCTTGTGAGGAATCTATTTTGGGCGATGGGTCTCAAGTATCTGGGTTTGAGAAACAATCTTCTAGATCTCAGGTAATCAGTCCAATACCTAAAGTCGAATTCCCTAAGTTTGATGGAACCCAATTCCGGGGCAGATTTTGAATACAATGGGTATTTCACTCTAATTCCTAATATCCCTAGCCAACAGAAAGTCACTTTAGCTTCCATGCACTTTGAAGGTAGGGCTGCACAGTGGTATCAAAATTTCACAGCCAAAGAAGGTGATAATGATTGGGAACAATTTCTGGACGTGATATCTGCCAGATTTGAGGACCTCAAATAAGCCAGGATAATTGTTGAGTTCAACAAGTTAAGGCAAACAGGTTCATACGAGGATTATGTGAAGAAGTTTGAGGAGCTTAAGGCCTGTTTGTTGCTTCTAAATGGGGGTGGATACTCAGAAGACTATTTCATTGCTAGTTTTATAAGTGGGTTACCAGGGGAAGCTCAAACATTCATAGCTATGTTTGAGCCTAATACACAAAACAAGTGAACACTATAGAACAAATCACCAAGAAAATTAGAGGACCTGGGGACAAATCTACTTATTCTCCTTTGATGGTGTCCATGAAAATGAATAATCAATTCAATGCACCAAACAAACCAACAAACACTTCCCAACCAAGAAACACAATCAAATTACTGAAAACCAATGATATGGCTGTAAGGAGGGAAAAAGGGAGAATTTACCTATAATTGTGATGAGAAATTTACCTATGGGCATAGATGAAGACAAAGGGTGAATTTCATGATCATGACTGAGGATGAGAAGTCAGCATACATGCAACCACAAGCTCGGATGAAAGAAGAATCACCAGAGAATAGCATGATGGATGAGGTTCAGATGTCCTCTAGTGAAGATGGATTGACCACTATGAGGTTGTGTGGGCAAGGAGGGGGATCATCAATTACATGTGTTAATTGACTTAGGCAACACCTTGAGCTTCATTAGGGAACACACGGCCAAAGAGTTGGGGTGTGCCCTCACAGCAGCTAAACCCATTCTAGTTAAGGTGGCCAATGCCCAGAGAATGGTGAGTTCACACACAGTGGAAAGGTTTGAGTGGAAAACGCAAAATCAAAAGTTCAAATACAACCTTAGAGTACTACAACATGAAGGATGTGATCTGATTCTAGGTGGTGATTGGCTTAAAGTCTGCACCATTATTGGACTATCACGAAATGACAATCACTGTCACCTTAAAAGGCAAGAGGGTTAAGTTGTAAGCAATTACCAATTTGGCAGATTGCAAGCTGATCATTGGGCCCACCCTTTTCAAAATGGTTCATGAACAAGGTTAGCAGGACATTGAGGAGATATTTTGGATGACCATACCTAAACCTGTCCACATATCCAATCATGAACTAGGGGAATTGCTGCTGAATTATGGAGACATTTTTTAAGAGCCTAAAGAGTTAGCACCAAGCAGAGGAGTAGATCACCAAATAATACTTAAGACAGACAGTTCTCTTAAACACCAATATCCCTACAGGGAGTCACATGACCAGAAAGATGAAATGGAAAGAATTATCAAGGAATTATTGGAGTCTGGGTTCATACAAGCAAGTCACAGTCCATTTGCATCACATGTTCTTTTGGTTAAGAAAAAAGTCTCAACATGGAGGCGATGTGTTGATTACAAGTATCTTAATGGCTTGACAATTAAGAATGATTACCCTATACCAGGGCTTGATAAGCTTTTGGATGAGTTACATGGGGCTGCCCATTTCTCTATGATTGATTTGAGATCAGGTTATTTCAAAATATTGATGAAACCAGACCATATGCATTTGACTACCTTCAATACACACAGTGGGCAATATGAATTTTTAGTTATGTCATTTGGGCTTTGCAATGCCCCTTCTACTTTTTAGTAACTAATGAATCAAATATATAGGAATTTACTAATGAAGCATGTTCTGGTTTTCTTTGATGATATCCTATTCTATAGCCAGACATGGGATGCACATTTAAGACATTTGGATGAGGTCCTATCCATGCTAAGAAAGAACAAGTTGTATGCAAATAGGAGTAAGTGCCACTTTGAGCAACAGAAAATTGAGTACCTTAGGCACATTATCACTTCAATTGGGGTGACAACAGACCCACAGAAAATTGCAACATGTTAGATGCCCTATCCCCACAACTATTAAACAGTTGAGAGGATTCTTGGGGTTTACTGGTCATTTAAGGAAATTTGTTAAGGGATATGGGGTTATCAATAAACCCCTCACTAACCTGTTGAGGAAAGACAATTTCAAGTGGAATGGTGAGGTAAATGAAGCTTTCAACAAATTGAAGGATGCCATGGTAACAGCCCAATGTTGGGATTGTCTGACTTCACACAGCCTTTCATTTTGGAGACTGATGCAAGTGGCACATAGGTAGGTGATGTGATAATGCAACAGGGGATACCTTTAGCTTACATGAGCAAGACCTTTTGCCCCAAAAACCAAGGGTTGTAAATATATGAAAGAGAGTTTTTGGTTATTTTAATGGCTATCCAGAAATGGAGGCATTAATTGATGGGCCATAAATTTATTATTAGAATAGACCAACAAGTATTAAAGCATCTATTGGATCAGAGGATCATGACTCATATGCAACAAATGTGGCTTACTAACCTTTTGGGCCTAAACTATAAGATTCACCACAAAAAGGGGACTGAAAATAGGGCAGCAGATGCCTTGCCAAGGAAGCCAATAGGTAATGCTGACCTTAGCTCAATTACTATAGTGTTTCCTACATGGGTTCAACAAGTGTTAAAAAGCTATGAAGGGGATCATTTCTTTGGCAGAATCCTAGAAGCAAATTCTATTGACCCCACTATATACCCATAATTCAAGATAACAAAGGGGTTACTGAGGTACAAATGGAGCTTGTGTGTTGGTGGGAATCAACAACTTAAGGATCAAATTCTTACAATGGTACATGATTCTGCTATAGGGAGACACTCTGAAATCCAAGAAACCTACATGAGGCTAAAAAGAAATTTCTACTAGTCGGGCTTAAAGAAGAAGGTTAAACAAAGGCTAAGGAACTATGACACTTGTATCATGAACAAGTCAGATAATGGTCCCTACTCTGGCTTACTACAACCTTTACTTGTACCAGACCAAGCATGGACCCACATATCCATGGATTTCATAGAGGGGTTACCAAAATCAATGGGTAAGAATGTGATTTTGGTGGTAATTGATAGGTTCACAAAATATGCTCATTTCATGGACCTATCACATCCATTCACAACTCAAACAGTGGCTCAGTTGTTCTTGGATACTATTCACAAAACTACATGGGTATCCCATAAGCATAGTCACCGATAGAGACAAAGTGTTTACCAGCTCATTTTGGAAGGAATTGTTTAAACTTGTAGGAGTGAGCCTAGATATGACATCCTCTTATTATCCACAATCTGATGGGCAAACAGAGAGGTTAAACAAGTGTTAAGAGACATACTTAAGGTGTATGGTACATCAAAACCAAAAACAGTGGGTTAAGTAGTTACCCTTGGCAGAGTTTTGGTATAACACCAACTACCACACCGGCCTAAAAGTTACTCCCTTTGAAGCCCTATATGGCTACCCATCCCTAGTTTTATTGTTGGTACCCTATTTGCATTCTAATGATGTTGATGCACGACAAATGATGCAAAGCAGATAGAAAACCATGAAAAGAATCAAGAAAAAATTAACTGCAGCACAAAATCGTATGAAGGTATATTCAGACAAGCGTCGGCAATAAAAGGAATTCAATGTGCTGATCAAGTTTTTTTTTTTTTGGAAAATTGCAACCTTTTTGCCATAACACTATAGCAATCAGAAAGAATTTGAAACTTTCCTCAAATATTTTGGGCCGTATACTGTTTTGGAAAGGTAGCTTAGTGTTTGGAATTACCCGAGGGCTCTCCCGTCTTTCATGTGTCATTGCTGAAGGGGCGGATCTCCCCTGCTAATCGTCCGTCGCCGGAGTTACTTCTCACGATTGAGGACAGACTGTTCCAGGTTAATCCGTCTCATGTTATTTCTCGCCGCAATATGATGAGGGGTGGCCTTAATGTTGAGCAGATATTGGTTCTGTGAGAGAATGGAGCTCGCCACTTGGGAAGATCTGAAGTTCATCCAAAATAAATTTCCGACCTTTAATCCTTGGGGACAATGATCATCTTCAGAAGAGATGTTGTGGATATTGTGAATCAAAGGCAAAGCTGCTGTCATCTTTTGGAAGAAGACGGGTCGGATCGAGGCGATTTGGAAACAAAAGTGGGTCTCAAACATGACGATCGATTTAGGGCTTGATGGGGCTAAAGATGGCAAAGTGGTGTTGGATAATGAAGATGACCTCCTTATTGGGTCAACACTAGTATTGGGCTATTGATCAAGTTTTATTCTTTGAGCCTTTATTGGGCCTCTTTTTTTAAGGTCATTTAGTAAGTGTGGTTTGGGTGTGTGTTGGGCCGTTAGTCGTCCACGTAAACATTATTAGAAATTGCTCATCTCTCTATCGCACTCTAATTCTGCCAATCTCCCGAGGAAATTGGTCCATATGACCTTTCCCAAAAGCATATTTGTTCAAATAACCCTTT